AGGTCAGGAGATCAAGACCATCCTGGCCAACATGGTGAAACCCTGTCTCTACTAAAAATATAAAAATTGGTGGGGTGTGGTAGTGAGTGCCTGTAATCCCAGCTACTTGGGAGGCTGAGGCAGGAGAATTATTTGAACCCTGAGGCGGAGGCTGCAGTGAGCTGAGATCGTGCCACTGCACACTAACCCGGGTGACAGAGTGAGACTCTGTCTCAAAAAAAAAAAAAAAAAAAGGTGCAAAAAGGAAAGCTACCGTGGACCAACAATGAACAATGTGTCTATGGAGATGATTTCTTTTTCCCCAAGGTGGCGCTGTTGGCTTAGAAATACCATGTGCTTGCTCATGGAATAGTGGTGAGTGACCTCACTGTGGGGGAAAGGGGAGACCCTCTGTTCCTAGAAGATCCCAAGAGCAGTTTCCTGAGCTATCTGCACAGTTATTATAGCAATTCCTGATCTTGCCTAACCCGATTACTTCTCTGGGCTGTAAAAATTCCCTCACATTTGACACACAGAGAGAATAAGAGACATAGTGACTGCAGATACAGACAGAAGGGGAATTTTGTGACAGGCTAGCTGGGAATCCTTTACCAACACCTGGGCAAGCTGTCAGAGGCTCAGTCCAGTCTAGAAGGCTTTGAATAACACAAGGGGGTACACTGGCCAGAAATTCTCAATTGCTTCAGAACTTTTCCTGGCCTCGTCGATGGTTAGATTTCCTCATGAAAGGAAGCTGGTTTGAAGCATGACCAACATGCCCAATTATCAATGGATATTGGGGGATTCTCCATAGTCTCTCTCCATAGTCTCCCTAGTAAGCCTGACATCCAAGTCTTTAAGAATGAAAGCCACACTAACTGTGTCTTTAACTGGCTGATGGATGCTTGTTATTGATTTGATTTGATTTTTAAATAGAGGGCAAGAGCCTTGGAATGAAAGGATAGATTTTGAGTCTGCTGCTCTACTCACTGTTCCATTGAATGTGGTACCTTGGGATTCCGGACGAGCCCCCAAAAATGATATGGCTCCATTGTCTAGGAAAACACCCAGTGTCCTTTGTCTCGTGCCAGGGTCCTTTGCCTCCAGCACTTTGGGAGGCTAAGGCAGGTGGATCACTTGAGCTCAGGAGAGACCAACCTGGCTAACATGGTGAAACCCCATTTCTACTAAAAATACAAAAACCAGCTGAGCATGGTGATATGGCTTCATTGTCTGGGGAAACACCCAGGGTCCTTTGTCTTGTGTTGAGAAAATTAGCAACACAGACACAGGTGGAGTGGATTAAGGAGCGGAAACTTTAATTGGCAAGAAGGAAGAGAACTGCTTCCTTGTACAGAAGGAGGAGGGCGCCTAACAGAAAAAACTCCTTTAGCAGAAAGCAGTCAGTTATATTGGCAGGCTTGAGGAGGCGGTGTCTTATCTGCATAGGGATGAGGGGATTGGTTTGACCAGGCATGTCATTCATGTAGCCCACAAAAAAACTGGCCCTCCATGGCTGGGCATGGTGGTTCACACCTGTAATCCCAGCACTTTGGGAGGCCGAGGTGGGCAGATCATGAGGTCAGGAGTTTGAGACCAGTCTGACCAACATGGTGAAACCCTGTCTGTACTAAAAATACAAAAATTAGCCAGGCGTGGTGGTGCGCACCTGTAATCCCAGCTACTCAAGAGGTTGAGACAGGAGAATTGCTTGAAACTGGGAGGTAGAGGTTGCAGTGGGCTGAGATCATGCCACTGCATTCCAGTCTGGGTGACAGAGCAAGGCTGTCACACACACACACACACACACACACACACACACACACACACACACAAACTGGCCCTCCCACCCTAACCTTTAATATCCATATGTGGCTACTTGGCTGGTCATCATACCTGTACACGTGGCTTCTACCTGGCTGCCATGATATCTGCATACATGGTAACAAAGAAAAAGTAGCAGGAACTGCCATATATGGTGAACCTGGCTCTTAGCCACCAGCATTTTCAGATGCAAGCCTGTGGCTTGTATATCAATACTTGCAGGTCTGGTTTTTCAGGCCATTTTCTGTTAGAAAAGAAATGTTTGGGGCAACTGCTTTTTATAAAAAAGAAAAAGCATTACTGAGGACTCTTTTACCCTTTCTAGCTGCCTAAAATAAGTTTTTAATAACTCCTGTAATAGTGGTGGTGTGCACCTGTAATCCCAGCTACTGGGGAAGGGGGGAGTGCGCTGAGGCAGAACTGCTTGAACCCCGGAGGCAGAGGTTTCAGTGAGCCCAGATTGCCCCATGGCACTCCAGCCTGGGCAACAGAGTGAGAGTCCATCTCAAAAAAAAAAAAAAAAAGAGAGACTATAGATCAACAGCCAGTTTTAGAGATGCATAGGGGAAGGTATGCTGGGGTGGGGGCAGGGGGAGGTGGGGTGCTGTGGAGCTTCCACATCCTCTCTGTGGCACCACCGCACCAGCACTTCCTTGTATTCAGCAACCCAGAAGCTCATCAAACCTCATTGTCCAAGAGTTTTTTGTTTTGTTTTGAGACAGAGTGTCTGTTGCCCAGGCTGGAGTGCGGGGGTGTGATTTCAGCTCACTGCAACCTCCACCTCCCTGGTTCAAGCAATTCTCCTGCCGAAGCCTCTTGAGTAGCTGGGACTACAGGCACCCAGCACCACGCCTGGCTAATTTTTTGTATTTTTAGTAGAGACAAGGTTTCTCCATGTTAGCCAAGATGGTCTTGATCACCTGACCTTGTGATCTGCCCGTCTTGGCCTCCCAAAGTGCTGGGATTACAGGTGTGAGCCACTGTGCCCTGCCTGAGATTTTATGGAACTTAATCTCTAGCTCACTCATTCCATTTCCTAGAAGTTGGTGGGTGGAGCTGACAGTTTCAACCTATAGTGATCAGCCCATCTGGAAACTATTCTAGTTGCACCACCCTAAATCACTTCATTAGCATAAACTCAGGTGTGATCAAAAGAGGCTCATTATGAATAACAAAAGACCCTCCTATCACTCAGGAAATTCCAAGGGTTTTCGGAGCTTTTTGACTAAAATGGGGAAAAGTATTATATTTCACATTATACTACAATATCACTGCTAGAGTAATCATTTTTTTTTTTTTTTGAGGTGGAGTCTTGCTGTGTCACCCAGGCTGAAGTGCAGTGGTGCAGTTGCAATCTAAACTCAGCATTTGCAATCTAAACTCACTGTAACCTCGGCCTCCTGGGTTACAGGTAGCGTTCAAGCCATTCTCCTACCTCAGCCTCCCAAGTAGCTGGGACTACAGGTGTGTGCCACCATGCCTGGCTAATTTTTATATTTTTAGTAGAGATGGAGTTTTGCCATGTTGGCCAGGCTGGTCTCGAATTCGTGACCTCAAGTGATCTGCCCGACTTGGCCTCCCAAAGTGCTGGAGTTACAGGTGTGAGCCACTGCACCTGGCCCTAGATTAATCTTCTAGAACCAACAGTTCACATCTGTCAAAACACCTACAAGGCTAGCTAGATGCATCTCCTCTCTTGTAATTCTTGTGTGCTGTGTCCCTGCTAGTAGGCTCCTTGAGGACAAGGATTTCACCTTACTTATCACTGTATTGCCAGTGCCTGGAATAGTGCTGCTCATTCACTCGTAGATTTTATCCATTCAGTTAATATTTGTGAGGTTCAATAAGTATTGAATAAGTGAATAAATTATTCAGTGAATGAACAAATATATGACATGGCTCTTAGAGTTTAAATGTTGTGGTTGTTTTCTTTTGCTCAAAACATACCCACGCATTGTTTCCAGAACACATCATTTACTTTGCCACCTCTGTGATTTTGCTCACACAATTTCTCCAGTTTGTAATACTTTTCACACTCGTCTCTGATAATCAAAGACCTTGATCTTGAGGCCAAGCCAAGTATCATTTTCAGTATGAGTATTTCCCCAATGACCCAAGAGTTCAGTGACTTAGTCTTTCATCTTCTATTATTTTTATGGTCTCTATCTACTTAGCACACATCCCATATACATTTTCTATTTAAGGATATATTCTATCTTCCCAGTTAGGTTTTAAATCTTATGAAAACAGAAGTCCTAGGCCAGGTGCGGTGGCTCACGCCTGTAATCCCAGCACTTTGGGAGGCTGAGATGGGTGGATCATGAGGTCAGGAGTTCGAGACCAGCCTGGCCAACATGGTGAAACCCCGTCTCTACTAAAAATAGAGTGAGCGGAGATCACACCATTGCACTTCAGCCTTGGTGACAGAGCAAGACTCTGTCTCAAAAAAAATTTAAAAAAGAAAACAGAAGTCCTATTTTATTTCCATATTTATATTCAATTCCTAATCTAATACTAGAAGCTCAGTCTCCCCCAATACATACATATATGTATACACACACACACACACACACACACACACACACACACACTGGAGTGTAGTGGCATGATCATAGCTCACTGCAGCCTCAGACTCCGGGGCTCAAGCAATCCTCCCACTTCCACCTCTTCAGTAGATGGGACTACAGGTATACACTACCACCCCTGGCTAATTTTTGTGGAGACAGAGTCTCTCTCTGTTGCCCAGGCTTGTCTTCAACTCCTAGGCTCAAGCAATCCTCTTACCTTGGCTTCCCAAAGTGCTGGGATTACAGGAGTGAGCCACCATGCCCAGCCATAACAAGTTTTTAGTAGTTTCTAATCATGGTTAGGTTTTTTGCTTCGATATCGTCACCATGATCATAAAAGATCTGGGGTACTCTTTAAACCTAATTTAGGTTGTAATTAAATAATGAAGCTGTTAAAATATGAGAGTAATATTTCCATCAAATTTAATCCTAGTATATGTTACATTAATGTATCTGTATATACATTTACCAGCATATACACAGAATCATAATTATACATGGTTGTTGCTCTATGTTGATGTACTATGGTTCAGTTTTCAAAGGCAAATGTTATAGTGCATTCCAGGACACCTGTGTTCACAGGATCAGTTCTTTGAAACTATATTTGGATGTGCAAGCTATTAAAAGCTTCTTGAACTGAGTGACCTTTCAGGCAGAATGTAGATTGAATGCTCATACTACTGCTGCCTGTTGCTGAGTGGAAGACAGCAGAAAATTTGGATTCAAACATTTATTGGTTTTTGTTTTGCTTTGTTTTATTTCCTTTTGCCTTAAGAAGATGAACAGTGAAACCACAACCCTGATATCCTTGAAGGAGGCAATGAAAAGGTTGCTGAGGGGTATAGTAAGGGAGCAAGCATGGGTCTACTATTCTGGGAAGATGGGTAAGAGAAGAATGAAGAATAGAAATAAACAAAGAACTACAGAAATTCTGTCTCTATGGCTGGGCACGGTGGCTCACGCTTGTAATCCCAGCACTTTGGGAGGCTGAGGTGGGCAGATCACAGGGTCAAGAGATCGAGACCATCCTGGCCAACATGGTAAAACCCTGTCTCTACTGAAAATATAAAAATTAGCTGGGCATGGTGGTGGGTGCCTGTAGTTCCAGCTACTTGGGAGGCTGAGGCAGAAGAATTCCTTGAACCCGGGAGGTGGAGGTTGCAGTGGGCCAAGATCGTGCCACTGCACTCTAGCCTGGTGACAGAGCAAGACTCCGTCTAAAAAAAAAAAAAAAAGGCCGGGGTAGGCAGATCACCTTACGTCAGGACTTTGAGACCAGCCTGACCAACATGGAGAAACCCCATCTCTACTTAAAATACAAAATTAGCCAGGCTTGGTGGTGCATGCCTGTAATCGCAGCTACTTGGGAAGCCGAGGCAGGAGAATCACTTGAACCCGAGAGGCGGAGGTTACAGTGAGCCAAAATTGCACCATTGCATTCCAGCCTGGCAGCAAGAGTGAAACTCGTCTCAAAAGAAAAAAAAAAAAAAGAATTATGTCTCTATTACAGTGGTTTAAGTCTTCCAGGCCCAAATCTATGTAAATTAATAATAAAGAAAAGTCTGCTTCCAGGTGCTGTAACTCCATTCAATGTAAGCATGTGCTAAATCTTAGATTTACAAACATAAGTAAACATGGGTTTCTGCCCTCAAGGGGCTCACAGCCTGTAGGAAAGAGAAAAGTTTCAAAGATATTTACAATTGAATGTCATTGACCTTACAATGGTGATGCTCCTAAAGGACTATGGAATATGAAGGGAGGATCAATCAATTTTGCCTTTGACACTAGAAAAAGGAACTCTTCATATAGGGTCATTTAAGCTGGATCTTTTTCTTTTTGAGATGGAGTCTCGCTTTTGTTGCCCAGGCTGGAATGCAATAGCGTGATCTCGGCTCACTGCAACCTCCGCCTCCCAGGTTCAATCGATTCTCCCGAGTAGCTGGAATTACAGGCATGCGCCACCTGGCCAATTTTTGTATTTTTAGTAGAGATGGGGTTTCTTCATGTTAGTCAGGTTGGTCTCAAACCCTCAGGTTATCTGCCTGCTTCGGCCTCCCAAAGCTGGGATTACAGGCATGAGCCACCACAGTCAGCTTAAGCTGGATCTTAAAGTACAAGTAGGAGCTTATGAGGCAGAAAAATATGGGAAGGAATTCTAGGCTGAGGAAACAGTGCATATAAGCCATACGTAAGCTTGGAATTGCATAATGTACTCAGGTAGCCACTAGATGTCTCATGTAATTGATGACTAGGATGGGCGAGGGACTGGCAGAAGACAGGAGCAAAGGGTAAAGGCCCTTGTGTTTCCTGCTGAGGAGATCCAATTTGGCTCCAAGTATATCACTGGGCAAGTCAGGATGGCATAAACCATTTATAAGCAGTTGAGTTACAGGATCAGAATTGTGGTTTAGAAGAATGTGTCTGGAGGATGGATTGGAAATTGAAAACAGGGGTCCAGTTAGGCTTCTGCAATCTTAGGTCCTAGTGAAAGATGATGAGAAACTCATTTAGTGGAGATGGAGAGGTGGGAATGGGTTAGAGAGACATAAAAGGGGAAGAAAAAACAGTTGAGAATTATTCTGAGATTTCTAGTTCAAGCAGCTGGATAGATGGTGAGGTCATTAATGGAACCAAGGAACTAGTAGTAAAACAAACAAACAAACAACAACAAAAAAACAGGCTGCATTCAGAGTTGCATGTTGGTTTAGATTTATTTGGACTGGCCAGGGACTGTCCTTTGGTGAGAGGATTCCAAAGAACTGCTGCAATTGTAAAATTTTATACTGATTGACAAGCTAGAGTTCATCTCTGAGGTTCAAGCTACAGATGACCTATAAGCAATATACTCTTAAAGGTCTGAAAGTTAATACAAATGGTATATCAAATGACTTTTTTTTTTTTTTTTTTTTGAGATGGAGTCTTGCTGGCTGGAGTGCAGTGGCACGATCTCGGCTCACTGCAACCTCAGCATCCCAGGTTCAAGTGATTCTCCTGCCTGAGTGGCTGGGACTACAGGCGCGTGCTACCACGCCTAGCTAATTTTTGTATTTTTAGTAGAGACAGGGTTTCACCATGTTGGCCGGCATGGTCTCCATCTCTTGACCTTGTGATCCACCCACCTCAGCCTCCCAAAGTGCTGGGATTACAGGCATGAGCCACTGCACATGGCTGACTTTTTTTTTTTTTGACACAGGGTCTCACTGTGTTGCCCAAGCTGAATGCAGTGGCATGATCACAGCTCACTGCAGCCTTGACCTCCTGGGCTCAAGTAATTCTCTTACCTCAGCCTCCCCAGTAGCTGGGACCACAAGTGCACATACCACCACACTAGGCTAATTTCTATATTTTTTGTAGAGATGAGGTCTCACTATGTTGCCCAAGCTGGTCTCAAACTCCTGGACTAAAGTGATTCACCCACTTCAGACTCCCAAAATGCTAGGATTATAGGTGTAAGCCACTGCACCCAGCCCAAATAACATAGGTTTGACTTGTAGACAGAAATAGCTGGCATATTAGGTCACACAGGCTTATATTCCCACAAAGTGAACATTTTATAGTGAGTCTTGTCTATGTGTAAAGCAGTGACAACATTCCTTCACAGTAATTTCTGAAGATGGGGGTGGTATTAGTAGGTTAAGCTTAGGAGAGATGAGGTTTGGTAGCTCCATCTTGTTGGAGATGCACAAAACATAGTTGAAAATACAGGTCTAGGCCAGGCGCTGTGATTCACACCTGTACTCCCAGCACTTTGGGTGGCCAACGCAGACGGATCACCTGAGATCAGGAGTTTGAGACAAGCCTGGCCAACATGGAGAAATCCCATCTCTATCAAAAATACAAAA